TTCCATAATGACTCAGCTTATAGAGCAGCCTCTGATGAGGTACTCCATCAAAAGCTTTGGAGAAATCTGATATAAAGGCATCAATCTGTTTCTTGGAGTTCATTGCACTAACTAGGTCATGTATTGCCATTATAAATTGGGTTTCACAATTCCTCCGCTTGCAGAAACCATGTTTAAAATTACTAAGCACATTATGATCTTTCAGGTGCTTTCAAATGTGATGACATATAATATGTTCTAGTATTTTAGATGTTACTGAAGTAAGAGATAGTGGTCTATAATTACTTGCCAAAGACCTTTTCCCCTTTTTCAAAATTGGAACTACATTAGCTTTAATCAAGTCATTTGGCAACTGACCCTGATCTAATGACTGTTGAAAAAGTGAAGCCCGGATGGGTGCCAGCTCATGTGATAGCTCTCTCAGAATATATGTTGGCACACCATCTGGCCCACTAGCTTTATTCAAAGTAAGAGATTCAAGAAGTTTCTGGACACCTAATGATGTCACTATTATTTGATTCAAATTTGGGCATGATAGACTAGGATCTAAATTAAGTAAAGAATTGAGCTTTTCATTGGTGAGAATAGAATGGAAACAATCATTAAGAACATTAATTAGCTTTACCAAAATTATCAGATGCATTAGTATTATCTTCCTCTAATATATTTATCCTTATGTCATCTTGTCTTTTAGATTTTAACAAATCTGCAAAGTTTCTTAGGCTGATCTGAACTAGGTGTTTCAATTACGTTGTTGATATAATCATGATATATCTCATTAAGCTGTTTCTTGTAAATCTTACAAGTGTTCCTGTATTTTGTTCTATTTACATGGAAAATTCTGGAGGTAAATGTAATATATACTCTATCTCCTCTGCCTCTTGACTCATGATGGAAAAACATGCTGTGATTGAAATTCCCAAAAAAACAATCAACTTTTTGTAGGGCATCAGCTTTGCCTGATGGGCCATCTGACGTGGATGCATCAATTAATGTTAGCAAAACATTGAACAGTTAAATTTTAGTTCCTGTGGGATGAAAATCAATCAAAAGACTGTTGTGCTTCCATATTGGAAATGTGTTTTCAAAGTAGTTGTTGAAAATCAATTTTCTACTTTACTGCTGGCTTGTTGTGAATGACATTATGCATTCCTTCATTTTGAGCCTAAGGAATAACTGATACATGCCTGTACCTCTCCTCCAGAAATACTGAAAACTGCTGCTTATTAGCTGCCCCACTTAAAAGCCCAATTCAAAGCTCTCAAGTCTTTCACATTCATCATGAGACTCACGCAAAAAAATTTAATGATTTTCTCAAGCTGAAACCATTGTTTCTTACAGCAAACTACTGCTGTCATTAAGTAACTATGAAATTATTATTGTTTCAAATATAATTTACTCCTTGTTTACTTTGAATGTGCTTCAGAGTTTTTCCAGCAGTGGAAATGCTCACTTTAAAACTAAAGTATGCCATAGAAAATTCATATTTTTTCACAATTTTTGGGGGAAGTATGCCCCCATTCCCCCCTAGGGATGGTGATGCCTGCAGCATCCCATTTGAAGGTTAAAATGCAGATGAAAATCTCAGTCATGAAGGTAGCAAAGGGAGGTCCTGATGTGGGTTTTATAGAATTGTGTGTGTTCCCCCTGAGTGCCCCATTTGACTTTTAACCCTTAACACCCTAAGACATTGGTATTCATATTCTCCACACTGTTCTCTTTACATTTCCTATGGAACAGACAAGGAGAATTTGTCAAAGAAGTATATTTGATAGTGAAACAAATAGAAGAGTCAGTTTAGAACATAAGAGCTACATCAATCAATAATTATAATAGGTATTTTAATTGATGAAAATCTTTCTTGGAAAAACCACATTGACTTTGCTCTCACTGAAATGAGTATGACCATACAAATGATTGTTACATGTAAGTTAAAATGCATTGTTCCATCATCTGTCCTGACTCATAAATATCTATAAATCCTTAATTTTACCTTATTTAACTTATCAACTCCCAACTTAGGGCAATGTGTCTAAAAAGTATATAGTAAACAAAATTGCTGTTGTTCAAAAGCAACTATTGCATCTAATTTACCTTACTGATAGAAAAGAACATGCTATCCCTTATTTATAAATGCAAAAACTCTACCTATTACTGTCTTATATTATGAAGCTGTATGAAAATTAATGCTTGATGTTCATAATGGTTATAAATTTAAACATGGCGAAATTGAAACAAATTGAACTTGCAGTTGTACAATATCTTTGGTGCACTTAGATACTCGGGATTTTTTTTCTTTTACAATGAACGTCTTTCATTTTCTGTTTTCTTTTCTTGTGTATATTTAACGGTTTTTTTCATGTATTATTTTCATATTTAGTCAAAATCTGCTTACATTTTTCACAATTTAATTTTTTTTCTCATAAGCTAGAGAAACTAGTTTAAACCATTGAAAAAGTTTAATTTGCGGAAAAAACCTTAAAAAGAAGGTGAGATACAGCAGAAAGAATGATGTCATAATTGTTTCTGCAGGCTTTTGTCTAGGATCTCAATTTGCATGTAATTTTTTCATCACATCTTGCTCTGCACATTCACTGGAAATCTCTAACACATTTTTCAAAATGTTGAGTAATGAGAGTCTTCATCAAATGGCCTAAAAGAGTGGCCTTAAAAAGTGGAAAAGAGCACGAACCAAAGAAATTGAAGTCAAGTTGTTAATTTTCACCAGCTTGCTTGATAACTTTTGGATTATGTTTAACTCATGATCCTGTTTCACAAAATGACCTTTCCCGCAAGTTTCAAAGGAGTTCTTTGTCAGGAGGCTTGCCAGGGGGTTCCATGTTGTGTTTCACTGGTTGGCAGCATGACCACTTTGACACACACTTTTAAAAAGGAGGCAAGAAAACTCTTAATTTCTTTGGAGGCCAAAAACTTGAGATTTGATATTACCCAAGTTACCTCTACATTAATAGGGTATGTAGAGTTGTTGGGTTTTCATGAAAATTGGCTTGAATGTTCCTCAGATATTATTGCACAGAAGTGCATAAAGCTTTAACGAAATTTGAAATATTTCTCTTGTAATTTACTGGAGTTTGACATCAAGGGAAATCTAACCTCACAATAGATTTTTTCAGTAACTATTATGGGAATATCAAAATTGCCTGACACTCTTTGTCAACCCATTATCTGCTGGGTGATACTGTCCAGTTTGTTTCGAGGTCTGGGGTAACACAGAGGCTGGTAATTCAGTAAAGCAAACACCATCAATGTTGCATTTAAATGCTTACGTGCACCTAACAAAACAAAAACTGTGAACAGTTTTGTTATTTCAATAATCCGTACTTTATAAGCTTTACTGTGATGTATATTTTTCTAAGGTTTCTGTTTTAATCTAATCATGTGTTTAGCATCAAGTAAACAGATATCAAATGTTGTGCAACAGAGCACATGTAAGTTTCCCCTGTACCTTTTGACTTTATCTTTAATTTAACTAGCCATAACATAGAGAGCATCTCTGTTTATTACAGTTTCTTTAATAGTAACATGAGTTGGACCATTTTTTCCAGAAGGCACCCTATTTTGTTGATAATAACCTTAAGTAAAAAATTGCCCCGCCTGGATTAGCACCAGCTACCTGCAAGTTGAAGGAATATTTTGTATATTGAATATGAGAAAATAGATAAAGTGTGACATGAGAATCAGGAACTTTTTAAATTTTTGATGATCTCCTTTATTCTTGTGACCCATACTTTTGATTCAAGGATGATACTGTAAGGAGAAATTAGAAGCCAATCGAAGCTCTTAGAGGTTAAAGGGTTAAAATGGAAGATGCATCAAACTTATTTTATTGATCTGTTGCGTGATATTTAACTCATTGTTTGAGTGCTGCAATATTCTGGTGTCGCAAAGCTAGAATAAAGTTATGATTTTTGTGTGTGCTCTGTAATGTTGCCTTCCATGTATTAATTACAAGCATTTCTTTACAGAGGACTTGATTTCATGGCTTCTGCCACCCCACTGCATCCTTCTACCAAAGAGACCTCCAATTATGCCCAACTGTGTCGCTTTCTTGTTGAAGTCGGATCACGTGTGCTAAGGGAGATCTTTGACCGGGTATGTCCACCAGAAAACCTTCACACAGTTCTGACTAATCCCACAAACCATGCCAAATTACAAACACTGCGAAAGAAGAGAGTCCTGAGTACCTTCCAGTGGGGGAAACTGTATCCTGTTGTCAAATCGTCAATTTCCTCAGGGAACTTTGACAGCTCCCTACTGCTATTACTTCTGACGAATATCTTTGGTCTGACTCTCCCTGCCTCCAGCTGGAATAACCTTCCTCCAGGATCAGACACCTCTCCAGAAGCTGGCATCACTCGCATCAAGTTTTTCAGGGACAGAGTTTTCAGTCATGCTGCTAATGCTTCAGTTGATGATCCAACTTTTAGTTGGTACTGGAACAGCATCAAAGACACCTTTCTGCATATTGAAGGGACCTGTTATGAGGAAGTCATAGATGATCCTACACTCCATTGTATGGATGCTGATCTTAAAGACCACTACCGAGAGCTTCTGAGAGAGTGGTTGAAAGATGATGACTTTGTCACAGACAAATTGCATGAAGACAAGATTGTGAAAAAGGCCAGGAAAGGAGGGGATATGGAGGATTCCTTTGACATTTCTGAACAAAATTCATGGGAGAGAGGTGTGTGTAATTTTTTTTAAAACCAGAGTTTTAAACTAACTTGTAGAGTCAATAATGTACAGTAAGTCGTACTAGATCATTAGATGAAATTGAATTTTGTGCAGATTTTTTTTTAAAGTCACAACTATGTGTAATTGAAGTTGTGAATCTCTATTCCCTTGATACACCAATGCATCCATTAATTGCTTTTTTCCTTCATCTTTCTTATCTTTTGATTTCCATTTGGGTAAGCTATTTATTGTCACATACAAATGTTTAAAAAAAACTACAACCTTCTTTTTCAGAGACAGTAATAATGCCAGGGGAAAATACATCAACACAGACTGGCAATAGCAGCCCACTGGAGCTCAGTGTGAAACTTCCAGAATTGAGTGATCTTCCAACAATCTGTAATCCGTGGGAAACTGTCGAACTTCCTGTTGATATTCTTTTATTAACAGTGGAAAACTGTGAGTTCTTAAGCTGCTTTGCTTACCTGAAGAAACCCTTTAGGAGTTACCACATTAGTACTGGCTATGTGTACTTTGGGTGCATGGGTGATGATCAAGGAAAGAAAATGAAAATTGCATTGATGAGGTGCTCCAAAGGTCCTGATGTTCCTGGGGGTTCTTTGTCTGTTTCAAAAGATGCCATTGTGCTACTGAGACCCAAGACTATTTTTTCTGTTGGTGCCTGCAGTGGTTTGAACAGCAAAAAGGTCAAGTTAGGAGATGTGGTTGTTTCAGCAAAGCTTATAACAGCTGCACACAAAACTACCCCCAGCAGAGATATTGGTAACCTAATCAAACATGTGGCTGATGGCTGGAAGGCACCTTTACAAAATGCTGATGAATATAATGCCAAAGTGCACTGTGATGGAGTGGTTCTGAGTATCTCAGAGGCAAACAGAGATATGATTAGGAAACATCCTGAAGCAATTGCAGTTGAAATGGAAGGTGGAGGTGAGAATCATAATAATTGAAATAATTGATGAGCCAAGCACTTTTGTGCTTGAAGGAAGTGTTTTGGAAAACACTGCTCTGGTATTGTCTCTGCTGGTCCAAGAAGTAGTGTGTACCATATAGCATGCCAAATTTTGCAGGAATTATATACAAGAAGTATAGTGATTTTGTGTTTGGCTGGGGCAGGAAGATTTTTGCTGGTGAAGGTGACTGAATACTTCTTCTGGCTAAATTGAATGTGCTCCATCAGGATGTCATGAATTGTCTTAAATTTGTCATCTGAAGAATGTAGAAAGTATTTTGTTAATTAGTTTGAGAGTTGAGGAATAGTATCACAGTCCCTGTTAACCCTGAAACTCCCATGAGTGACCAAGACAGAATTTCTCCGTACAGTATCAACATGATACCAAGCAGATAAGTAATGGGAAAAGAAAAAAGTCAATTGGGTGATTATTGGTTGATCCAAAACCAAACTCTCCTAACTAACATCATAGCAATTGTATAACAACCCTTTAACTCCCAAGATCTCATTGGTAATTCTCCTTACTGTCTGTGAAATGATTCTCATTATGTTAGTTTGGAGAATTTGGTATCGGATCAGTAATCCCATAATGGACATTTTTCTTTATTCTCATCACTTGTCTGCATGATATTGTATGGATAAATTGAGGAAAAATTCTTACTTGGTCACTCACGGGAGTTAAAAGGTTAAAGAGAATTTTTACCAATGAGATCTTAAAAGTGAAAGGATTAACTCTATCTGACAGAAGTTCGTCTTTTGAGAAATGTTGAAAGTTACTCATGGAACAAGGTGAAACCTGAAGAATAATTTTACAGTCCCAGTGTACAATTATTTTCTAATCGAAAAAAATCAGATTTCGAAATTAACTAACGTCTTTTTGCGTTGTGCATTTTTACAAACAGCTAGAGTGTGAATCTTTGTGAGCTTTGATTGGACAATTATATTAAGGATACTAAGAAAATAAGCTTAATATACAGTTAACAGACATGAGTATTTTTTTCAGGAGTGTATGCAGCAGCTCACGATTTTAAGACAGAATGGGTGGTCGTAAAGGGCATCAAAGACTTTGCGGATGAAATGCAGTCTTCAAGTGAGAAATGGAAACAAATTGCTTGTGTGATGGCAGCATCTGTTGTGGCCAACATTTTGAATGATCCAGTCATATTCCAAGATTGGCCTCATTTTAATGCAGGTATTGCTTCCTGTGTCAATCTTCTCTTTTTACAAGGATAGGTCTGACCTAGATCTAAGTTCCCACAGCATATTCTTATATGGATTACAAATCAAGATCATTTATTCAGTAATAGTTCACAAATAGGAAATTAAATTACCCTTATTTTGAGTTTACATTCCAGTTGGTTTAACAAGGCCTCTTAAGGTGGTGGGAGAAAAAACGTGTGGCTAAATTGAGTGATGTGATGCTGAATAACAATTCACTCCATGAGCCACATGAAATGGCCGGTATTATATAGTTACCATGGTTTATGTAACACAACTAAAATGAGGAAAATAAAGAGGTACTGTTTGTTTTCAATACACAGTTTAGACAAAAACTTGAAAGAAAAGTCTAAAGATGGGCAATGAATAATGCTTAATTTTCATTGAAAGTAGACTTGTGTCTTTTGCGTGCAAAAAGGTGCTCTTTAGAAGGATTTGCAATAAGACCTCTCATCGCCGTTCGTGTAACCGGCGAGGCTGTCGTGTTTGGGTTTTGCCTTACAGCTCTTTTCCGGGCACAGCCGCCTATAAGACCATCGTCACCCGGTTATGGAAATAGTTACCTAAACCTCTGCCAAAACCATTTGACATGTTGCACAGCAGAGTTGGGAATTACTGTCGCTCATTAGCAATGACATTAAGTTATTTTTGAAAAGTTTATTGTTTTTCATACGCGGTCTATTTTAAATGGAGTGGCTATCAGTTGAGGCTTCTATTCCGCTAATAATATTGAAATGTTCATCCTTAGGGGACGTCAAAAATTACCTTGATCAAATCAAAATTGATTTTGGAAACATGAGTGACAGGTTGGACGATTTGGTAGCACAACAAAGAGAAACAAAGCAGCAAGGTGCGTACTGCGCTAACTAACTAACAATTGGAATACGGGCTCCAGTTCCATTTTGAGGGCGAAGCTTAGTCAACTATCACGCATGAAACTGAGAGTGAAAAATCTAATAGTTTAATTTAATTTAAAAGTCATTCAAGACTTGGATGAAGGGCAGGCTCGTGTTTTTATTGAATATTGATACAAATGGGCCATCCCCTGTGCTGTTTACATTCCTTTCTATCTGTCACGGAATAAATAGTGAGTAGCTAAGCCAATCAGATTGCAGCATGTGCGATCGAACGTATATTTACCCTAATAATATCAGCGCTTGAGGAGAATAATAAAAAAATTAGTTTGAAATATTGGGGTAGGAATCAGTTACAGCAATTGTTATTTCATCACAAATTGAATCAGATGCCTCCATGGGAAAGAATAACCCTTCATATTTTGCCTCACATCCAACGTGTGGCTTCGTAGCTCAGTTGTTAGCAGCACGGTATCTCATGAGGAGCTTTGGCCCCGAAAAGAATTCGCAGCCTGCATTCTATGGAGACGCTATCATTTCTGTCATCAATGTAGAGAATTACTTTAACGCTTGCAGTCGGTAGGTGTCTATGCGGTTATTTAAACCTGTTGATTTTAACTTAAAGGCTCATCCGATAATTAATACTTCATCTAAGCGCGAATTTCAATTACAAAAACACAACAAATCTTAGACCGGAATCACCTGGCGCGATCCTATCATGGAGGCCAAAGTCTTCTATCGATCGGCTGAGCTTTCTAGAGTTACGGAATACAATCTCGACCATATGTGCTAACGAAAAGTTAATGTGGAATCAAGCCCAATGCAAAGAACGAAATCTTTCGTCGATTCCCCGATGACTGCAATACGTTCTGTCCCGCCAGCAGTTCTCAGCCGCGCCAACAAAAGCTGTTCGTTCAATACCACATCACCAAACATGTTGTACGTTCATTTGGTCTCTGTGCCGGACTAATTAGACAGCGAGAATTTCCTGCAGATGCATTCGTGAGGATGTAATGTTGGAAACTGTACGATACGTCAATTATTCTTAATTTGATTGACATTTATAAGTGATTTCGTTTAACAAACAACATGTATGCGGCACTTATTTTATCGCCCCTTATATGGCATTGTTCCACTTGCTTACAGCGGAACGTTCAGTGCGTGTTTTTTCGAATAAGTCGAGAGTTGTGAATGGGAGTTAACCAAAGCGTTGAAATAGAATCGTTAAATCAAGTGAATAAACCGTGACTTTATAGGGAAGCGTGGTACAGCCTTTTCACGTTTTCGACAATAATCCTGTTAAATCAAATTGCTCTCGACCGTGCACTTTAGGCGGGAAATACCTCTAGTCGAATAATCATGGGGAATTGCAGAGATGTCAGTCAAAGAACGGTCTTCTGATATTTATTAGTGTGAATTCCTGAAGATTATTTTTTAATCTCTTCTATACCCTCTTGAGTAGTGCATACCTGAGAGTTATTTTTAATCTCTTCTATACCCCCTTGGGTAGTGTATACCTGAGCGTTATTTTTAATCTCTTCTATACCCCCTTGGGTAGTGTATACCTGAGGGTTACTTTTAATCTCTTCTATACCCTCTTTGGTAGTGTATACCTGAGGGTTATTTTAATCTCTTGCATACCCTCCTGTGAAGTGTATACCTGAAGATTATTTTTAAATCTCTTCTATACCCTCTTGGGTAGTGTATACCTGAGAGTAATTTTTAATCTCTTCTATACCCTCTTGGGCAGTGTATACCTGAGGGTTATTTTTAGTCTCTTCTATACCCTCTTGGGTTGTGTATACCCGAGGGTTACTTTTATCTCTTCTATACCCTCTTGGGATAGTGTATACCTGAGGGTTACTTTTATCTCTTCTATACCCTCTTTGGTAGTGTATACCTGAGGGTTATTTTAATCTCTTGCATACCCTCTTGTGAAGTGTATACCTGAGGATTATTTTTTAATCTCTTCTATACCCTCTTGGGTAGTGTATACCTGAGGGTTACTTTTAATCTCTTCTTTACCCTCTTGGGCAGTGTATACCTAAGGGTCATTTTTAGTCTCTTCTATACCCTCTTGGGTTGTGTATACCCAAGGGTTACTTTTATCTCTTCTATACCCTCTTGGGATAGTGTATACCTGAGGGTTACTTTTATCTCTTCTATACCCTCTTTGGTAGTGTATACCTGAGGGTTATTTTAATCTCTTGCATACCCTCTTGCGAAGTGTATACCTGAAGATTATTTTTTAACCTCTTCTATACCCTCATGGGTAGTGTATACCTGAGGGTTATTTTTAATCTCTTCTATACCCCCTTGGGAAGTGTATACCTGAGGGTTATTTTAATCTCTTGCATACCCTCCTGTGAAGTGTATACCTGAAGATTATTTTTTAATCTCTTCTATACCCTCTTGAGTAGTGCATACCTGAGAGTTATTTTTAATCTCTTCTATACCCTCCTGGGTAGTGTATACCTGAGGGTTATTTTTAATCTCTTCTATACCCCCTTGGGTAGTGTATACCTGAGGGTTATTTTTAATCTCTTCTATACCCTCCTGGGCAGTGTATACCTGAGGGTTATTTTTAATCTCTTCTATACCCCCTTGGGAAGTGTATACCTGAGGGTTATTTTAATCTCTTGCATACCCTCCTGTGAAGTGTATACCTGAAGATTATTTTTTAATCTCTTCTATACCCTCTTGAGTAGTGCATACCTGAGAGTTATTTTTAATCTCTTCTATACCCTCCTGGGTAGTGTATACCTGAGGGTTATTTTTAATCTCTTCTATACCCTCATGGGTAGTGTATACCTGAGGGTTATTTTTAATCTCTTCTATACCCCCTTGAGTAGTGCTGCCTGAGAGTTATTTTTAATCTCTTCTATACCCTCCTGGGTAGTGTATACCTGAGGGTTATTTTTAATCTCTTCTATACCCCCTTGGGTAGTGTATACCTGAGGGTTATTTTAATCTCTTGCATACCCTCTTGTGAAGTGTATACCTGGAGATTATTTTTTAATCTCTTCTATACCCTCTTGAGTAGTGCATACCTGAGAGTTATTTTTAATCTCTTCTATACGCTCCTGGGTAGTGTATACCTGAGAGTTATTTTTAATCTCTTCTATACCCCCTTGGGTAGTGTATACCTGAGGGTTACTTTTAATCTCTTCTATACCCTCTTTGGTAGTGTATACCTGAAGATTATTTTTTAATCTCTTCTATACCCTCTTGGGTAGTGTATACCTGAGAGTAATTTTTAATCTCTTCTATACCCTCTTGGGTAGTGTATACCTGAGGGTTCCTTTTAATCTCTTCTATACCCTCTTGGGCAGTGTATACCCGAGGGTTATTTTTAATCTCTTCTATACCCCCTTGGGTAGTGTATACGTGTGAGTTATTTTTAATCTAGTCTATACCCTCTTGGGTAGTGTATACCTGTGAGTTATTTTTAATCTCTTCTATACCCCCTTTGGTAGTGTATACCTGGGAGTTATTTTTATGCTCTTCTTTACCCTCCTTACACGGCGGTCACGATATTCATATTCGTAGATGTGGATTTGCTTACAACAAACTAAAATGCACTAACGTTGTTTTAGAGAAACGTGAAGCCCTGCTTCTCCACTGTTATAGTCAATTTTGGTAAGAATTTTGTCTTCAACTATCAAGAATAGTTGCAATGTGCCGAAGCATGTAGACGGAACAGGTAGACCATCAGTTGAAAGCGATGTGTATTCTCTGGATTATCTAATCATCACAGTTTCTGGTCTTTAAAAGTTCAAAACCGTTACCTGTATTAAGAAGGTTTGTCTGAGTTAGCCTTAAATAGGCCTAGACCTTCCATCATGGCGGGAAAATCAGCTTTACCAGTGCCGCTTTTAAGGCAATTTTGAGTTTCTTCTTTTTACGTGTTTTAATTTTTTCCTGTTATATGTTGCTCTAACATTTGGCCAGGACTATTTGTGGACCTTGTGTTAACGATTTACCGTTGTCTTCTTTAAGACATACATTGTTTCTACAAAGAAAATAAGCTTAGCGTACCGCCCCTTAGGTTATTTCGAATTAGATCCGTTAAGTTTCTTCGTGGAATTTCCCAGGACTCTTGCTTCTGGACAATGTGCGAACAAAGTAGTGTTGCATCTGCAAAATGATTAGAAATGTAATTATGGGAAGTTGCAGTTTTTTCCATTTCAATCGGAAGCACAGGTTCGAATTTCATCGAAGCCTGAACCTTTTCACAGGTTTCTTCCTGTAACTTTTAAAATTATCGCTTACCTGTGTGGGTATCATGGCTTTATTTATGACAGAATGGTAATAAATAACAGTCACTGGCATTGTAGAGGATCCAAGCCTCAAACTTTTGGATTTCGCGACTGAATATACTTTTATCAATTTTACCAACTGAGCCAAAGAGGCAAGTTGGGGAATTATCTCATCTGCCAGGCTGATTTTTTGACCAACATCTTGCATATAGTTAACATGACGCCGGGAAAGGAAGCGGGCTGATAAATTTTTAGGATTTTTCGTAAAGGCTTTGTAAAGATCTCTCACATGGCTCCGTTTCGCCCTGATAACTTCCTTATCAGTTTTATAATCAGAAATTATCATATGACAGTTGATAATTAGTATTTATGTAAACGATTTACCAAATGTTTGTTAAAATTGTTCAACTGCTTGCTACGTGGATGACTAAGCTCATATTGTCTTTTACCGTGAACGACTCTGCTTGGATCACTCAAAGTGTTAATTCCGACTTACAACAGATTCGCAATTCAGTGGTTTTTCGACAATTGTTTAATGCTTAATCCAGATAAGACGAAACTAATGGTTTTTGGCAGCCGAGGAATGTCTTCGAAATTACTGGACTTTTATCCCCCCTCAGGAAAAGACATTCACCCGGCTCAATCAGTCAAAGACCTTGGAGTAATTTCTGATCCCACGATATCTTTTGATAACCATATTTGTACTGTATCGTCTTGCTTGTGGAAATTATCTCAAATAAGCTGTATTAAATTCGTTTTCGATAAAAAACTGCTTGAAACCATAATAAACGCGCTTTTTTTCAGTAAACTATATTACTGTTCATCAGTATGGTCATCTACCTCAGCCTGTAATATTCGTAAATTGCTATATGTTCAAAACTTTGCCGCGCGAATTATCTGCAACGTAAAGAAGTATAACCATATCTCTCCTGTATTAAGAACCTTAGGTTGGCTCCCTTTAAAAATACAATTGTATTGCCGAGATGCTACTTTAACATTTAAATGTATGACGGATCAAGCCGCGGAATACTTAACATCTATGTATATAACAAGAGGCAGCGTATCTGGACGTATAACCAGAAACTTTCAACCACGAAACATTCCCCTTTTCAAAACTGCAACAGGACAGAAAACGTGTTATTATAAAAGTGTATCTACCTGGAACAAGTTAGATCCAAGCCTTAAATTATGTAAGAGTCCCGCTTCCTTTAAGAGAGCTCTAAAAAATCACCTTTTGAATGAATTTTTAAACTGATCATATTTTATTTAAAGATATATAATTCGTATTATATTGTGCGCCATATCAAACTCATGGGGTACAAATAGTCTTAACACGAATGTAGTGACTACACTCACTTCAACACCCCACTCAAATCGAGTGCAATTTTCGAATGTTTTACCATCGTGCGGATTCTCTACGGAAAAAGCACCTAGTGTACCTCTGAAATATTAAACTATAATATTGTGGCTTTCTATTTCGCTAATTTTCTTACTTGAAGGTAACGTTTTTCCCTCGTCATTTTTACTTTTTCTCCGAGCGGTTGCGTGAAATTATCAAGGCGTTTTTGATCAAAACACGACTGGGCGAAGGGTCCTGGGCGATATCTCTTTTACGCGGGTGCAAATTAAAAATGTACCGCTAGAATCAAAAAGAGGAACAAATTTCCTTTGTTTTGATATGTAAAGTGTCGAACAAAAAGCAGATTTACCCTCGTCAAATGGCGTTTCAAAACAGCTGTATCTTCCTCCTTTTGATTTTTCCTGTTTTGTAAGTGTAAAAGCAGTAGGAGAGGGATCGGGAAACTCAAAAAGCGCTTCGGGAATTAATCTGCCATCGTTTACTTACAAGATAAACAAGTAAGATTTGTGAAGTTCGTTGAAATATGAAGTCTAAATAAATGCCTTTTTTAAGCATGTTTGCTGGATTTTTCGTAAACTTCCCTGATTAATTTTTCGTTTCAGCTTACTAATCTATACTATTTCAAAGCAATGTAAAGACGAAGACGGAGAACCATGAGTCGATCCTTTCAACGGTCGTAAACAAAGTGTTTGAGCAATCAGCTTTACGAGGTGTAATAATCAATAGCCGCATATCAGAAGTCTTCAAAAAGAAAGTAGAAGGCAGCGATGACGTGATTTTTTGCTCATACAGGTTTGAATAGCTTAAACCCTCTAAACTCAAATGTGAAATAACAGAAACCATTTTTTTTAAAAAAAGTTCCTCATTAACACGTTGACCGAACTCTAATCAATATGATATTCGGTACGTTGTGTTCACCTTTTTCGTCACGAAACAGAATTATTTGTCAGAATTTAGCCGTTTAAAATGTTTAGAAAATCAATTTGTGTGTTCTTAATGCTCTACCCTGCCATCTTTTCTTTTTAAAATTGTTGAAATCTAAGATAATACTGTCACGTTAGCAAAATCACCAAAATTTTGAAGTCACTAAGACGAAGAAAATGAATAAGTTAAAGATGTTTTTACATTTCTATAATTTCAAACAACTTATCAGAAGAAATCCACCGCAGTTTTCTATGGTCTGGTCTGGACTTGAAAAATATCACCCAAGAAAGGAAGAGTACTTTTAACCAATTAAAAAAAAAACGGCTAACGAGTGTTTTTAAATAAATTATGGTTAACCTCTGAATGAACACATCAATGAATGCCTTCTAAACCCCTTATATATCACAAAATTTAGGAGCACAAACGATTTCTTGCTGCATGCGGTGTGTTACGAGGAGGCTGCTTTTTGCAGCTCTGACTATTGAGAGCTCTCAAAAAAAATTTTTAACGTATTTCCAGAAACCAACGTGGTTTTATTTACTACCAAAGATAATTTAATGGGCAAAGTTTGAGGCAAAACTTTTCTCTGATGTGAAAGGCCTTGGACCACTCTTACAGAGATCGCCACTTAATTGATACACAGTAGCGTAAGAGATTGACTTGATAACCCATTAAATGCAGCGGATATTGATCATGTCGAGTTCAGAGTCTGCCTAGTTTCCGAGCCCCTCGACCGTGTAGTGTTCTCAAAATTTTGCACCCTCAGAGAGAAATGTTTTATTTTGCAGTTGTTTTCAAAATGAAAAAAATATCTGTTTGATTCCGGTTTCTTTTTTTCATGTTATTATGAATTATCAAACTTCGTGTCAATAATATCTGTTTCAGCCTTCGGCTTCGTCAGATAACTCAGACCTAAGTGATAATATTTCACGATATCATTCTCGGTGTCATCGTATAATTGCTTATTTTTCTGAGAGTCATGGCGTCATATAGCGTGTCGGTAAGAATGCCTCATAAAACTAACAACTAATTCTTTTTCAGATGGATTTGACCCAACTGGAATTATTGATAATATTCGTCAATTTTACAAAAATCGGGAAGGTTGGCTGGCACCGTTTCCCTGGTGTGAAGATTTTCACTTCTCCTTTGACGACATCTACACCAGACTTAAAGTCATCTACAGAAAGAAAACGAAAGGAACAGCAACAGACCGAGTTGTCACGATGTCTGAAATCTTCAACCAGCACGAAGAATGTGAAGAACCTAGAGTTGTGTTAATTGAAGGGAAGCCTGGTATGGGAAAGACCACTTACTGTAAAAAAGTTGTTTTCGACTGGGCCTCAGGAAAACACGCAACCGGAAATTGCTTCGCAAACATCGTAATAGTGCTTTTGATCAAATGTCGTGATGTTCAGTCTGGCCTTTGGGAGGCCATTGAAGATCAACTTCTGCCTCGAGAAGTTGGTGAAGACCAACGTGAGAGATTCTTCGACTTCATTCGCGACAATCAATCTAATGTTCTTCTGGTGCTCGATGGATTGGATGAAGTTTCCGAGAAGAAGCTACCTATGTTTTCAGAAATTATTCAAGGCCGTGAATTGCCACACTGTCGCGTGGTTGCTACGGCACGACACGAAGCTGGAGTCAAAGTTCGAAAATGCTGCGACACGCTGTTAGAAGTTGAGGGATTTACTGAAGAAGATGTACAATCCTTCATCAGAAAGTACTTCAAAGCCGAACCAAACTTGGCCAAGCAGCTTACCGCACACCTGTATATTGATCGCAAGTTATATGAAATATTGACGAATCCTCTCAACACTGCGCTTCTTTGCCTGGTGTATGAAGATTTGAAAGGTATATTTCCTGAGAGCAGAACGAAGCTGTACATGGAAATAGTGGAGTGTGTACTAAGAAGGTACAGAACAAAGCAGCAACTACCAGAAAACGGTGAAGACCTTGTTGACCTTTACGAAAGCCAATTGAAACACCTTGGTTCGATAGCTTTGAAAGGTTTACTTGAAGACAACTTGGATTTTGACGAGAAGGAGCTTGGAAAACACAAAGCAAGCGATTTACCTGGATTTGGATTTCTGTCAGTTCAGCCTGGAGGCAGTAAACTAAGACCAACTAGACGTTATAGCTTTCTTCACAAGACTTTCCAAGAATTCTTCGCAGCGTTCTATCTCAGTTGTCAGCTTATCCAGAAAGAAATCAGTACAAACAGCATAGCTGCTGGCCAAAAATATCGCCATCAACTTAAAGAAGTGCTTCTGTTTACATTTGGTATGCTAGCAGCACGATGCGAGGAAACAGTGGTGAACCTTCTGAAAAGCATAGCAACACAGTTAAACCAGGAAGAAGAGAAAGACGTGGACTTTATATTAGAATGTGTTAATGAATGCAAAAAGAAGAACAAAAATGTTGATGAAAAATTGGCTACCGCTCTTGGCGCTTCTCTTCAAACTAAAACTGTTAAAGTTTCAAGTGTAAAAGTGGATGAAACTCTAGCTGTCTTTTTAAGCAACTTTCTAAAAACAAATACAACTGTGACAAACTTAACATTGTATAAATCTTTGCAAGGTGGGGTTGCCGCTCTGGCAGAGTGTTTGAAATGTAACAAATTGCTGACAACGTTGGATTTGAGTTATAATGAAATTGGTGATGATGGTGCTGCTGCTCTGGGTGAGTGTTTGAAATATAACAAATCGCTGACAACGTTGCATTTGAGTGATAATGAAATTGGTAATGATGGTGCTGCTGCTCTGGGTGAGTGTTTGAAATCTAACAAATCGCTGACAACGTTGGATTTGAGTTTTAATAAAATTGGTGATAATGGTGCTGCTGCTCTGGTTGAGTGTTTGAAAGATAACAAATCGCTGACAACGTTGTATTTTAGTGATAATAAAATTGGTGATGATGGTGCTGCTGCTCTGGGTGAGTGTTTGAAATATAACAAATCGCTGACAACATTGTATTTGAGTTTTAATAAAATTGGTGATGATAGTGCTGCTGCTCTGGGTGAGTATTTGAAATATAAAAAATCGCTGACAACGTTGGATTTGAGTCATAATGAAATTGGTGATGATGGTGCTGCTGCTGCTCTGGGTGAGTGTTTGAAATATAACAAATCGCTGACAACGTTGGATTTGGGTCATAATGAAATTGGTGATGATGGTGCTGCTGCTCTGGGTGAGTGTTTGAAAAATAACAAATCGCTGACAACGTTGGATTTGAGTGGGAATGTAACTGGTGATGATGGTGCTGCTGCTCTGGGTGAGTGTTTGAAATATTACAAATCGTTGACAACGTTGGATTTGAGTGATAATGAAATTGGTAATGATGGTGCTGCTGCTCTGGGTGAGTGTTTGAAATCTAACAAATCGCTGACAACGTTGGATTTGAGTTATAATAAAATTGGTGATGATGGTGCTGCTGCTGCTCTGGGTGAGTGTTTGAAATATAACAAATCGCTGACAACGTTGGATTTGAGTTATAATGAAATTGGTGATGATGGTGCTGCTGCTGCTCTTGGTGAGTATTTGAAATATAAAAAATCGCTGACAACGTTGGATTTGAGTCATAATAAAATTGGTAATGATGGTGCTGCTGCTCTGGGTGAGTGTTTGAAATCTAACAAATCGCTGACAACGTTGGATTTGAGTTTTAATAAAATTGGTGATAATGGTGCTGCTGCTCTGGTTGAGTGTTTGAAAGATAACAAATCGCTGACAACGTTGTATTTTAGTGATAATAAAATTGGTGATGATGGTGCTGCTGCTCTGGGTGAGTGTTTGAAATATAAAAAATCGCTGACAACGTTGGATTTGAGTTATAATGAAATTGGTGATGATAGTGCTGCTGCTCTGGGTGTTACGTAGGAGTGTCATCCTCATGTGACAATACTTGCAATAAATTGAACCCTTCTAGGACATGGCTACCTTGCCTTATGAAGAAGCGTTTACGTCAGGACCGTTACACTTTATTACAATCTTATCCACACAACTTTTAGCTTGTCGCGTTTAATGGATAAAGCTGTTAAAAGAAACTATGCTTCATCTGTAACGCGCGTGCGTGTAAACCGCCAGATTATCCGCGTGAGGATAATTTGGAAACATTGGACTGCCTCGGATTTTGTTGCAGTTGAAAATCGGATGTAATATTTTTGTCTTTAGTAATAAATTCTGCTCATATATATATATTTTCTAGAGGGACTGCCATAATTGGTTTAAGGTTAGAGTAATTATTCTTTGGTGATCAGTTACTTGATTCTCATAAACTTACTTTAGTGTGATAATGTGCTGACACTTTTAAGTCCTGTGAGAAATTTGAAGTTGATAATTCTTAGGTGCAAAGAGTTAATTAATAGAGTTGTAGCCATGTTGTATGGTAAGACTCTTTATGATGACTACATGAGGGTTTGTTGTAGGCTGTGAAGAACAATTTATTTTTCAAAATGAACCTTTTTTTAGAAAAGTTGTTACAAGATATTTTTTAATTTTGTATAGGTATGTTTACTTGAACCATTTATGTATTTCTTAAGACGTAACTGATATAAATAAAGGTATTTTCAGCATAATTTCAGTTTTTCTCCTCTATTTTTTGTTGATGTTTATACTTTTTTTTGCGTTCTTCCAGAAAGTCCGCGTGATTACGATGTTCCTTAGCCTGCTGCTTCCTTTCTTCAATTCCCTTTTTTCGTTTGATATTTCTTGTAAACTGACCCATGGTCGACGCAATTTGGATGTTTTAGGGGTTGGGTTTTAATCTGCTTACACAGAAAAACTGGGTGAAGGAGTGACTTGACTTGCTAACTGAAATCAGAGAATACCTATGGCCAACTCGTGCATAGAGGTCTTCATCTAGCGATGAAACATGGCAGTAAACCTGTAATTATATCTCTTACGGCAATGCAAGGTTACCTTTATCTCAAAAGCCGGGCATGGTAACCATCAACTCCGCTGAGAAATAAACTGATATATGAAGATTTTAGATATATGAAAATTCACATATTTGCACTGCGGTGGAAAGATGAAATTAGGAGATCCTCGCAGCCAAGAACACTACTGAAACGAGTAGTTGTAAATAGGACCTGAGAAAAATTTCAGGCCCGTACGGGATTTGAACCCATGACCTCTGCGATACCGGTGCAGCGCTCTACCAATTGAGCTAACAAGCCAACTGGGAGCTGGTCAATGAATTGGGTCCAAATAAACATCCAAGTGAATGATGAATTTACAACTACTGAATTTACAATTTTACAGTTATGAATTTACATTTACATTTACTACTAATGAATTTACAACTACTCGTTTCAGTAGTGTTCTTAGCTGCGAGGATCTCCTAATTTCATCTTTCCACCGCAGTGCAAATATGTGAATTTTCATATATCTAAAATCTTCATTCACTTGGATGTTTATTTTGACCCAATTCATTGACCAACTCCCAGTTGGCTTGTTAGCTCAATTGGTAGAGCGCTGCACCGGTATCGCAGAGGTCATGGGTTCAAATCCCGTACGGGCCTGAAATTCTTTCAGGTCCTATTTACAACTACTCGTTTCAGTAGTGTTCTTAGCTGCGAGGATCTCCTAAACTCATATATAGTCTTTAAAAACAGCACAAAATAGTATCCTGCGTTCATCGAATTTCTGTTCGCAAGATTTGTCAAATTTAGACGCTGCAATCGAAGTCTTTGTTCGCCTGCACAGGCCAAATTTTGCTATTTTCCATTCATATGTCACGTTCCGCCTCAGCTGCTCAAGAAATGATCGAATTGCAGCGCAACAGTCTTTGTTTACAGCCTTAATCCTCTAACTCCCAGATCAAATTTGTAATTCTCCTGCTGTCAACCATAGAATTCTTATAATGTTAGTTCAGAGAATTTAGTATTGAATCAACGAGCTATCCACAAATTGATATTTCTCTTTATTCTCATCACTATCTGGTTGATATTGTATTGATATTGTGAGGAGAAATTCTGTCTTGGTTACTCGTGGGAATTAAAGGGTTGACTCCCGTGTGCATCTGATAACAAAACTCTTTAAGTTTTCTGCCTCAGAAAGAATTACCTCAGAAGGCATTTTAGGCGATCGCAATATTTTTGTCTGATTGAACATCAACATATGCGGTAGTGAATTCCACAAGTTTTCTTTTGTCAGAAAAGCATAGGATTATTTTCGTCCGCTTCTGACCGATTGAGTCGCCAATGCTCAGTTTTCATAAGATAATTGAATTTAATCACGGTTCATGTTTGATATCAGATCATAAACAAGCGAAGCGATTCACAGTAGTCGGTTTGTGCCTGAACTCGATAAAATTTTTTCACTTGCAAGATTATATCTAAAGCAACGATGCTTAATATGTAACAAAGCCTTACTAACGTCATGTGCGGTTACTACTCCAATGTGCTTTCGTGCTCGAGCGAGTTCAGGACGACTAATTACCAGTGTCTACATCTTAGTGAGTGAGTGACTCATTTGCATATCTGAGTCTTCATAAAAACTCTTTTGCACGAGTTAAAAAGGAGAAAGGAAAGAGAAAAGAGAGAAAGGACATTGACTATAGCATTAGGTTACCCAGGTGTTCAAACTTTCCCCACCCCCTCCCCTCCTCAGCTGTTTATTTCTTAGGGAGAGGAGTGGAAAAGCAAGAAAAAAGGATGAGGGAAGAGTGAAAAAAAAACCCGGCTCTGAACCACAGGCTCACCAGCCTTTAAACAATATAAAACGAAAAGAAAAAGAATTAACGGAAGAGATAAAGTGTCAATTATTTTATTTTATTTTTTGGTTTGCGTTTTCTGGTTAATAACTGTATCCAAAATTTGAAATTATCGACCTTAGCGCCTAGTGAGTTCTCCTTGACCATTTTTTTGCGCATTATGTTACGTAGTTATGACATAGAAAACTGTGCAGAAACTTCGTCGGAGAAAGGAGAAATGAAGAGGAGACGACGAACAGATTTCGTGGACGTAGCGCCAAATGAGGTTAGATAAAAGAATAATAGATCTACACCGGGTATTTCCATACACCACTTTCCAAAGGATGTAGCTGTATGGCCAAAATGGACGCGTTTCCATCGTAGTCATAGAGGAGATTTTATTCTTTAAAGTTGTCGGCCTTATGCTCCGTTTCGGCTTCGAAGACGGCTGTCACGAACACATACCACTGGTCAAATCAGGGGAACTTAGATTGCCAGTGAATTCAGCTGAAAAGAATGCTGATTAAGGGGCCTATTCCACATCGGACACGATTATACCACATTCTTTTCGGCTGACATTACGCAAGCGAAGAATGGTAAGCTTCTCAATGTTGCTTATTTCACTTTGTCTTTCTACATGATTACATTTGCTTTTCTGAGCATTTGATAATCCTACCAGTTGTAGTTTCCATCGAATTTTAAAAACAGAAATACATCATTTGTATTAAAAGTCAAGCCTTTTCCTGAGCTGAGCGGTATCCTGTTGCCTGAACAGTGCGAAACCTCTGGCGGATATTAGCATACACACAAGCTCGAAGGGGCCTTGTGTTCTGCCAACCTGGGTTTCCGAAAATCCATCCCACGAGCCATCAATTCCCCTATGCCCTCAAGAAACTAAAAGTAGAAAAAATAGCAATGTCATCGTGATAACAGCACTGCAACGCGACGAATTGTGAAACACAAATACTATTGAATTTGATAGTAGCGAATCCAAGTACTGTGTGAAAGTCAATGCATGTGAAATATTCATTTACAACACTGATGTCCGCGGTTATTTGCCAGTGAGTGAAATGGGTCACGTGGCAATACTGCACTCAAACTAAAGAGGTCTTTCTCTATTAAAAGTCTTATTGATGAATATAAACTCACTCGTTTTTCGTTTAAACGGCTCGACGACGATAGCCTCCGCCTTTATAATGTCTGAGGAAAGGAGTAACTTGCAGTAAAACTGATCGATGACTTTTCGGTGAAAATTATCGCGCGTGATTCATCTGATTCTTTCGATGCTGCAGTCAAAAGTAAGCTTTTGGTTTGCCAAGGGAATTACTCTACAGCAACGAAACCCAAGAGCACTGACCATGCAAGGCGAACCTTTGCCGCACCCACTACGAAAGATAATTTGTTAGGGCAACAGAAACGAACATAGCTTCCCATTCTTGCTATGGATCTTAAAATTTAGTAACGGGAGTTTTTTGTTCTAATCTTGACCTAAACACCGCAAGCGAGAGATCGTCTTTGTCCCTTGGTCAATCTTGGTCGAAATCTTTGTTTGATGCACGTGGTTCTTTTTTGAAGGGCTGAACCGTACTTGCAACTGTCATTTCTTCTTTACTACTTGAGTACGATATGTTACAATTCTTTAAGAGCTTGCTGAAGGTAGATAGACATACTCATCGGACATTATTTCGAGAGTTTTTCAAAGCTGACTGATACAAAATTACAAGAGACGTGAGAGATTTGTAAGTGACAACTGAGAGTTTTCACAATTTTCTACGTAATCGCCGGCTAACTCGTTACCAGTCTACGGGACACTTAAAGGACAAAATAAGAGCACTTTAAGGCCCGAAAAAACCGAGTTTCATTTCTTTGAAATTTTTCTTCTATCGGAATTGGTTTGAATATATGATAAGCTAAATACAAACGCAAAAAAAAGGTCCCTGTCATAGGCACATTAAGAAGAGAAGAAACACTAAGCTTAAGTTGTGCATGTCTGAAAAACTATCCACGTATAATAAAAAAAGATCGTGAATTAATCAAAAGGAGCAGGAGGAGGAGTCCTACCCTAAAACTATCAATTTTTCCGCACGCTCCTTACGTTCCCCTCCCCCCTCTTCCTCGTCATGCACCTAGGAGAGGAGGACAATTTTAGAAAGAGGGGTTCAAAATTCTCCCTACCTCTCTCCCATCGTCATCAAACCCTTCATGTAACCATGAGGGAAGTGAAGTTTACAAAAGGAGGTGCACATTCTTCTTCTGACATCCCCCTCCCCCTTCCCCCTTCCTCCTCCTCCACACACACACACGCATGCGCCAAACCCCTGATACACCCTTGAGTGGTAGTCAAGTTTACAGAAAGGGGTATATATGTTATCATCCCGCGCATGACTCGAGGGGGTTGATTTTGAAGCAGGGGCAAGTTTGTAAAGAAACTGTGGTGCTGCGTCGGTGGAAGATATAACAAGATAATTTGGTTTTATTCACTGAATTGAAAATGTAAATTGGCAACCGTACAGATTTATTAAAGATGACATTCGAGCGTTAGCACTCGAGGGCTAACATTCCAAATGTCAGCTTTAGAAACTCTACGGTAGCCAAGTTATATTGTATAAATTCAGATAATAAAACCAAATTAAATTAAATTTGCCTTTTAGTCACTGGCGTGTTCAGGCTTGTGGCGATTTGACCGATCGCTTTGATTGGCAGGCTTCGTTTTCTTTACCTTTCTCTTGTATTCTTCATAGGTACCTCTACTAAAGCATACTTTTATTTAGCCCCTCCCCCTCCCCTTGCGTCCCCAACATGAGATGAAGACGCAAACGAAAGACCTTGGCAGACATTGTGCAGTCAGAGCGCGGGAGGGTTGAGTGCAAAAGTTGTGTACCCTTGTAATAACAATTAGAATACTTGGTGTCATTTTGTCGGACTTTTATTTTCTGAAAATTTCAAATCACTGTACATGTCATATCAATGAAAAGATACGATTTAAATTAAAGTAACTAATCAAATTATAGGAAAATGAAAGACAACTTTTGACTCTTTTATAAACGAGCTCAGCACTGGATCAACAAAATTTTTATACAAACTAAAACATCGTGTATTTGAGCTGTTGAATTTTGCAACTTCAAAATGGAAGTAAAAAAGTGGTGATTAAAAGTGGTGTAGTACAATTTTAATCTGAAATCATACTTGTGATTTCAAATCAAACTTACTCTGCGCGCGCCCGTTAGATTTTGAAATCATGCCTATGATGATTTTAGACCAAATTGCACCCCACTCAATTCAGTTAGCTTTGTAAATTCTCAGCTCCAAAATTATAAGAAACGTTTAGCAATCATTAAGGAGATATGATATTTTGAACATAAGAGTGAAAGGGTTGATTAAGAAAGTAGGCGAAGTAACACGGATTTAGAGATGTTAAGGCAGTGTCTTCCTTTCCTCAACTTCTTTAACACATTGCTTCCTACCGCAGTAATAGCCAACACCAACTGTAGCGAATCTTAAAAGAGTTGGTAGTGGCAAAGTTTCAAGATGAATATCTCAAGAGTTCATTTTGGGAACTTTGAGGATGGATTATTCCTTTTGAAATCACAAGCGAAAAGCTTATATTAAAAGAGAACAAATTTTCAAGTGCGAACCTAAGATTAATATTTAGGTATCATGGCTTTTCGCAAGTTTGGCGACGAAATCCGATATAATTATTTTTTTTCCGATGCGTAGATTGCTTTTGAAATTCACGGCAAGCTGAGATATTTCGCCACCTGAAATTGACTGCAATAGCGCTTACGTTGTATCTGAAGTCTTACATGCCGCATCGTAAATACCATCATCAACATGATGCATGCCCTAAAGTCGATTGCGTTTACCCTTCCATGCATGGCCCATCAAACTAAAATGTTTTGCCGGGTGATGTCAATAAACTTCTGGAAAAGATGGAAAAGCCCGCAAGATTCGGCCGAATGACCCATGATCTACCCCCTTCATTTACGTTGGGGTTAATGTGTATTTAGTCACCGGAAATTAATTGTAAAGGACAATAAAATTTCGATTAGTTCAGCCTATTGTGAGCACGCTGATTGTCAAGTGAAGTTCATAGTGTTCGTGTTCATAATTTTTCTTCCTGTGACAACTCGTTCTTCGTAATATTCAGTTGAGAGGTTGGTGGTTACTGGCATGTCGTCAACATTTTAGCAAAAATAACTCAAGCTTAAGTGCTCATAACAAACCCCGCAAAATATTTAAATTTTGTCCGTTGTTTATCAGGGCTAGGTTTTTCAATGGTGGGTTAAGATAATCCAGGGTTAGTGTGAAATTTGATCTCAGATCTGAAACTTTTAAAAGAAAATTCAGTTTGATTCATTTTGTGTCCAATTTGATTATTGAATGCTCTAAGAAGAATAGAGAAAATGATCTGAAAAAGGCTCTTGAACAGAGAAATTGAGGAACTTGGATTTTAATTATCCTTGGGTTTGTGCTATTCGGCCCTCGAACAAATGGGCCTTGTTTTAGTTTCACCTCGCTGTCTTATTGGTTGATCAGGACCATAGAATAAGGCGTGGTGTCTCAGAGGATGGGGTAAGCATTGTACATTGATCGACCGTACCACTCGCGGTAGAGAGAAAATTGAAATCGTAACCAAGTCTCTTCCGCGGCCGTGTCCAGTCTGCTTGTCAAGAGCATAACCAGAAAGAAGCGGACTATGAAATGCAGGTAGGAAACGTTCGTTTCTAGCGAAATGCGCAGGGAGTTTTGGTATTGAGATTGTGATCTAAGATCGTTTTAGACAGTGATCTTAGATCGTAAAGTATGGCTGAGAAAAATGCTGATCGGGAGGAATTTCGGGGTGCAAACCACCTCCGCGCGGACAACGGTCGAAATCGGAGGTGCAGCCTTGACTTCGTCATTTGACAGGAATAACAGTGAGTTGGTTCTGCTAGATGGCATAGAAACGTTGGCAACCAGCAACATTTGAAGGTGGGTGAGGGTGAAAGAACTTCAAAGACGTTGCTCTGGTGAAGTGTACCAACTAATTTTGTCTGGGAGCGTAATAATGATATAATGAGCGACGTTTTTTCGTCTTTTCACGAGCGTGGCACAAAGAAAAAATTCTGAGTCCCCATGGGGAATTGAACCTCTGACCTTCGGAGTTCCGCGCTCTAATGCTCTACCTCTGAGCCACAGAGACTCCACGGCGAGCGAGATCTAGAGCGAAGTTTCACATGAAAAAACAATTCTCTCTATCACGTTACCGGGCTCAAAATTTATCATCTGTCTTATTGTATTTACAAACATGACGCTATCGACATTGCTGATCCTAACTGTATGTATAACCTCGAAAAGTTACCTAAGTGACTGAGGGGACAATTCGAACGCACACAGTGATCTTTATTACATTTAGATGATAGCTTTGAGACGTAATTTTGCTTGATGAGAGCAGCGGTTGAGGTTGCGTGTGGTTCGAACTAAAATAAAATATAACAGAAACTAAACTAAGAAAAATACGTTTCGAAATGTAACCTATTTACCTAACTAAAAATGTAGCGATTGCACAGAAAACTGAATACGAGAACTACACCAATAATAAATACAAAAGGTAAACAACGTTAATGAAAAAGAAATAAAGGCTTACTTTGGTGTAGCTCGTAACGGTAGCAAATAGCCTGTAGCGGTTATCGAGCAGCGACGATTTAACAGCGATGATTTAGTAGCGATGACTGAGGTAAAATCTTTACACGTGAACTTACATGGGACATTGATCAGAGATAACAAACTTATTGTGTAATAATTATTGACTAACCAAAGACTTATTGATAATAAATGAACCAGAACAAAAACTATAATAAAGTGTGCATTAACTAAGCGTCTCGAAACTAACCGTCTGCAGGACGCGTGCCATAAACTAGACACGCTCACTGTGGAGTCTCTGTGGCTCAGTGGAGAAGCTGACCGGAGCGCGGAAATCGGAAGGTTTGAGGTTTAATTCCCCGTAGGGACTCGGAAGTTTTACTTTGTCCCACGCTCATGGCAAGACGAAAAAATAACTCTCTCTATTATCTTACCGAGCGCAAAACTTACCATCTGTCTTATTCTATATATAGAGACATGTCATTGTTCTGATGCACTCAGTCATCCGGATGAATGCCTTTGATTATTTGGTATAAGGTGATTGACGTATTATGATCGTCTGTGTTCGCGTGGTCCTCGAAGCATCCCATCATTGCAAAGCAACACAGAATCGATGTGTTTTCTGGCAGCTGTTGGTCGAATCGATTTCAAGCGTTGTTTGACAGATTGTGTCTACACCAGGAGAGAAGCTTAAAGCTAAAGGTAAGAAGAATGCTTCTAACAAACCATCATTAAATAACTATGTGGGGACATTTACGAATTGCACATAAAGAAACGCACACCGTCAGTAATCCTTAACACAGCTTCCCATGCAGTTCTCTAAACTCAGCAAGCTTATTGGTATGTGTAAGCTAAATTTTACGGTATGTAAAATCTGAATTTCGAAGGTAGGTTTTTTTGTCGGACGTATCACGCAAACGTGCCAGAGTCAAATTTATGTTCGAGAATTGATACTGATGAAAGTGGAAATCGAAAGTGAATTGGTTTCAAATGGAGAAACTTGGGAAATATTCCTCGAGCTGAGTTATTTTAAAAATTAATTTCTCCTCGTTACTGCAATGTTAAAAATGAACGTGATTTTCCTGCATGATTTAACTTGCTAACTCCCATGAGTGACCAAGACAGGATTTCTCCTTACAATGTCTACACAATATCAATCAGATAAGTGATAAGAATTAAGAAAAAGATCAATTTCAGAATAATTAGTCGATTCTATACTAAATTCTCTGAACCATTACTATAAGAATTGTATGGTTGACAGTAAGGAGAATTACAAATTTGATCTGGAAGTGAAAGTGTTAGGATACAAGCATCTGTCATGATATTCTAGCTTTCAATCAGTTGGAATTTTCATTGGGAATTTAAGACAAAGAATTTGGAATATGGAGTCTGGGCTGGAAATTAAATATGGGGGGGGGGGGGAGGACCAAGAAAGTCAGTTTCACAGCTTATTCTTCATGCAGGCTGTGATTATTGCATATAATATTTGTACAGCTAAACAGCATTCAAACTAATCTGAAAAAAGAAATACATTTGAGAACAGTATAATTTACCTACAGTATAATTGCTTGCTGTCTGTGCATGTATTTGTACATGAAGCCATTCACCATACTGAACACAATATTTACTTCAATAACCAACATGTCTGTTGTTAATACATGATACATGATATTAACACTGGAGTCCAATCCTCTAACATGTGACCATATAATCAATATGCATTCAAAAGCCAGATGGAAGATTTTCACCAGTTTATTAACCCTTAAACCCCTAAGAGTGACTGGCTTCTAATTTCTCCTTACAGTATCACCCTTGAATCAAGTGTAAGGGTTGTGAGAATAATAGAAATTATCACCATTTCAAGAAGCTCCTGATTGTCAAACAAATTCTCCTTGTCATTACCACAGGAAATGTAGAGAGATCAGTGTGGAGAATATGAACACTAATGTTAGGGTGTAAAGGGTTAAGGGTTCTATTGTTATAATATTACTCCTGCCGCTGTACAGTGAAAATGGTTTTGTTTCTGTAGTGTTATCTGTTAATAGAACACAAGCTTTTAAGTATTAATTGCACTTTTTTGTTTGTATCACTCATTTGTGTGGCATTCAATATTACCACTTTTCTTTAGGTAATGTTATGTTACTCAGTTATTGATGTATGTGCAGTTGTTTATGTTCTTTTTTGTGGGTGTAAGGAGGTTTGTTTATGTTATTAAGATCATCTCTCTTTTCTAAAATATGAAAGACTCTAATTTCAGTAAAAAATCGTGCTCAATAACTGTCTGTTAGAAGTTTGGGAATCATAGGGTTAATCATAACCATTACTTAATTTCCTCAAATGTAATTGGTGCGTTAGATGGTTTATTTTTCAATAGTTATTTTTATAGTGTTTTAATCTGACAGTGTAACCAGACAGTTGGCTGTATGGTCAAACCTTGATTATCCAGACTTGTGGAGAATCATGGGCTTTATAGTCCAGATAATCCAGAGTTTGGAGAATGGAAGATATGAGTATAAATGTTGGTAGAAAATGGGACCAGAGCAGCAAGCCCAGATAATGGAAAAACCTGGATAATGGAGGTCAGATAATTAAGGTTTGACTGCATTGATTGGACATGGCTAGCTGTATTTGGACAATTAAAGCACCCAATCATACTAGTTAGTAAGTCCACTCAGCTAAATCCACCAGTCACAGACGGTTTAAAAAGCACTTTCGGTTGAAAACTTTGCATTTGTTCTTCCAGAAATTGTAATGATTATGATTAATTGGTGACAATTAGACTTTGTGTTGTCCTATTTGGTCAGTAATCTTGCATACTCAAGTAAATATCTGAATCTGCATGAAGAGTCACTTGGCCAAAAATTACTAGATATAGTAGAGAAAAATAATTAATTTCAACTTCTTTTGCATTAGATACATATACTGTTCTAAGGGTTATTTTTAATCTCTCCTATGCCCTCTTGGGTAATGTATATCTGAAGGTTATTTTTAATCTCTCTTACACCCTCTTATAGGTAGTGTATATCTGAGCGTTATTTTTAATCTCTCTTATACCCTCTAATGGGTAGTGTATACCTGGGGTTTATTTTTTATCTTGTCTCTCCCCTCTTGGGTTGTGTTTACCTGAGGGTTACTTTTTATCTTTTCTATACCCCCTTTGGTAGTGTATACCTGAGGGTTACTTTTAATCTCTCCTTTACCTGGGGTCATATACCTGGGTGTATACCTGAGGGGTTGCTTTAAATCTCTTCTTTACCCTCTTGGGTAGTGTATACCTGAGGGTTATTTTTAATCTCTCCTATACCCTCTTGGGTAGTGCATACCTGAGGGTTATTTTTAATCTCTTCTTTACTCTCCTGGGTAGTGTATACCTAGGGGTTAATTTTAATCTCTCCTATGCCCTCTTGGGTAGTGTATACCTGAGGGTTATTTTTAATCTCTCTCATACCCTCTTGGGTAGCGTATATTTTAGGAATATTTTTAATCTCTTCTTTACTATTCTGAGTAGTTTATACTTGAGGGTTATTTTTAATCTCTCCTATGTCCTCTTGGGTATTGTATTTAACCTGCAGCTTACTCTTCCATACCCTCTTGGTAGTGTGTACTTGTGGGTTATTTTTAATCTCTCTTATACTCTCTTGGGTAGTGTATACCAAGGGGTTATTTTTAATCTCTCTTATACCCTCTTGGGTAGTGTATATCTAAGGGTTACTTTTAATTCCTTTCTATACCCTCTTGGGTAGTATATACTTGCGGGTTATTTTTATCTCTCTTATACCCTCTTGGGTAGTGTATACTTGTGGGTTATTTTTAATCTCTTTTATACCCTCTTGGGTAGTGTATACCTAAGGGTTACTTCTAATCTCTGCTATACCCTCTTGGGTAGTATATACTTGCGGGTTATTTTTAATCCCTCTTATACCCTCTTGGGTAGTGTATACCTGAGGGTTATTTTTAATCTCTCCTATATCCTCTTGGGTAGTGTATACCTAATGGTTATTTTTAATCTCTCTTATAATCTCTTGGTAGTGTATACCTGAGGCTTATTTTAAATCTCTCTTATACCCTCTTGGGTTGTGTATACCTAAGGGTTATTTTTAATCTCTCTTATACTCTCTAGAGTAGTGTATACCTGGGGGTTACTTTTAATCTCTTCTATATACAGATGTTTTAGATGACTTCATGAAGTCATCTTAAACACTTTCACCAAGTTATTACAGTGTTTAATAATGAACATGAAAAAGTTACAAGCTTCTGAAAACAAGTGCATAATTCTCTTGTAACAGGAGTGCACTGAAAGTTGTATCACAAGTGCAAATTACAAATAGCGTTTGTAAGCTTTTAAAATTCCATCTGTCTAGACTTTCAGTGATGTTTCTTCATGTACATTCATTTATGAACGAGAAATAACGTGATTTCTCTTGCAATTTTCTGTAATAAGCACTCATAAATTTTTCAAATTTTTTTCTTCTATCTTCCAACAATTTTCTGAATAGTGTATGGATATTATAGGGAGAAGTTACAAGTTAATCACTTTTGGGGATTAAAGGGTTAATCACTTGTATGATTACAGACAGAATTGGACTCTACTTGGTCCTATTACCATTATACATTATGCTCAACCTTGTCTAATAACTAGTGAGTAATAGATGGATTGTACATACACATTGTGATCAAGGAAATATTTTTTTCCTGACACACTGCTGGTGAAAGGCCTTTTAATCATGTTGAATAAATTATAAAAAAATTGCTTTTGAGCAACAAAGGGAAGAATGAAACAGGTCCCTCAACCCTCAATATCTTCTTATTAATCCTCCCTTCACGCCACCATATGTTTTCTTGTAAATTAGTAGGGAGAATATGATGTTACATCACCACACAACTTTTTCAGTGAATATGTGTATCAAGTCTTTTGTTGGATAGTTTGTTAATATTGTAAGTATAAGTTACATATAAATCACATCTTGGAGTTAACTCTTCTGAACTCTCAGAAGTGATTAACATGTAACTTCTCCCTACATTATCCAAACATTATCCAGAAAACAAGTGATGAGAATACTGATAGTTGTCAGGTAGAGATTATAATTTTGATCAAACACCGAATTCTCATAACTAATTCACAAGGAAATGTGTAGCAGCCAGACGGGAGAATTAAAAATCAGATCTCAGGGGTTAAGGGTTTGGGGAGATGGGTGCTAGCTGGATTTCTTTACCTTTATAATGTTCTCTTTCAGGTCTTATTGGACAAGAGTGATGGAATATCAAGCAGGAGAGAATCTCTTAAGAAGAATTCTTAGACAGATGATAGCAAAAAAAATTTCCACTTGTGTCATTCTCCTGGCTAACAGAAATTAAGAGGAGAGCATGTGTTAAGAACAGCATGGGCTGTGGTAGTTTCCTTGACAACCACAACAGCTGTTTGTAGCTTACCAGCTCTCTTACCCATTTTCACTGCTAAAGGGCCTGATACAGAAATTTTTTAATAAGATAGTAAATATTTCTAATATTGTCTGTATTTATACCATGATTATCATCAAGAGACATGGATTTCTATCATCTGTTTGTATAAGATAAAGGGGGTAAGGTTCTAAAGAAACTGTGGTGCTGCATCAGTGGGAGAGTATACCAGGGTAATTTAGTATTATCAACTGAGTTGATAACTTAAATTGGCTACTGTAAAGAGTTTAAAAGTTGACATTTAGAGCGTTAGCCCTTTGTTCAAACAATTGGCAAAGGGCTTAATGCTCAACCAAAGAGCTATAGCACTCTGAATGTTATCTTTAAAACTCTTTATGGTGGCCTGTTTGTATAAATAGTCCACTTTGTTTGTAAGTATGCTATAAGAAAAGAGAACTGTACAGGAACAATTGGAGAGGACTTCAAGTTCCTCTTGTCCCTGCTTATCATTAGTAATCAGCATTCACTGGTTTGAAGGCTTTCAGTGTTTATTCAATCCTTTTTTACCCCACTAATATTGATCCAAGGTTGGAGGGTATGTGGAAACCCCGTCATTATATCTCTCTTGTGTGACAACTAACAAAACAAGTTTCCCTAAAGATTCCACAGCCTGACAAGTGTAGACAAATTCCACAGATGATCACATACTCCTGCATCTCGCAAGGGAGATGAGCAATTATTTTTTGCAGACTTTTTGCAGTATCTGTAATTCCTCCCTTTTAATATTTTGACTCTATACAGTGGTGTTTCCCTCTCCTTATGTTTCCTCTCTCTTTTTCTTTCCATTTACAGCAGGTTCTCTTTTGCATTTTTCCAGACTTTCTTTAATAAGGTACTTCATGTGAAATTCCTGATTTCCCATTGTGTGGGAGTCCCACCAGAACTGCTCGATGGGCCCCTCATGGGACCTTACCAGGATCTTGGCAGGATTCTCATAGAGAATGGAATATCACGTGGAGTATGTTGATTATATCATTACCATCGAGGATCCCACACTTGATCCTTAATGCAGCTGTTAATCTTTCCCTTATGTAATGATCTCTTGTGGATTTTAAATGAAAACAGTTGGCCAAAATGAACCCTCTCCACCCTAACATCAGTATGTATTTTCTCCATAATATTCTCTATACATTTTCCAAGGTGCTGAGAAGGAGAATTTGTTTAACAATCAAAAACTTCTTAACCTGGTGATCAGTTCCTCCATTCTTGCAGCCCTAATGTTTAATTAAGGTTACAGGGTTAATAAATGCGTGATTAATTTATGATTAAGGTTACAAGGTCAATCTTTGATCAATGCTTGATTAAGGCTGCAGGGTTGATGAAGAAATGATAGAATGATCCAGCACACTGTTAGAAAAATCGAGTTCTTGTGAATGTTGCCGTTTTTCTTTCTATGCAATTGACAAATCTCAAGAAAAAGAGGTGACGAAACCTACTTCTACCCCAGATTTGTTTGTCAAAACAAGTTTTTCATGCTATCTGTGAATCTTGCATGGGTTTGGAAAGTTGTAAACTGGATGATAGATCGACAAACTGGGGTAATTTTCAATAAAACCAGAAAAACATCTAAGATCGAATTTCTATTTGCAAAGTCTTTTTTCCAATACGCTAAGTAAGTGAAGTGGCTCTGAACACTGGACATAAGAAATCAAAGTTGTAAGGGAAGCTGCGCATAAACAGTGCGGGCAGTCTGTGCAAGGTGAACTTTGTTACCGTGCATCCCTGGAAACGAAAATAATAACATCATGGCGGACGTGGCTACAGTGTCTTTCAGGAAGTTCTGCGGAAACTATCGAGAAGGCAAGGGCTTTCTGGAAGTGTATAAACCCTCCTCCGGAACAGAAGTCTACATTAGCCGTCAGTGGAATAAACCACCGTCTAAAAACAGCACCTCAAGTTGGAGAAGGTTCGTTAAAACACTGTTTTTAAACATCAGTCTTGGAACTAAACAGCTTACCTCTCGTAAAAGATCGTGTATTACGCTCAACTTCAAATTGGCGGCCCTGCCGCTTTCTAGAAGCATGGAAAGTAAACGCTCGCAATCGAGACGGTGGCATTGACATCTGCCAAGTTAGTATTTGACGGAAGTGCTGAAGGACAAAGCTTAATCGATTAAACAACTTTTGGAACTGTACAAGTAACCTGCATTTCTAATCTTTTCTGATCTTTTAAGAACTTTTTTCATCTGTGCAACGACTTTTTTATAGTTATGAGTTCGAATGGTATTCGTGCTTTTCTTAATCGAGAACTAAATATGTATCGTTATGGCAATTTTTGACGCACATTCACTGGGTTACTTTGAATGCCTTTTGGGATGCTTCTGTTGGTTTTTTGTCGATGTGTTGCTCTATTACACTTTATCCACTTAACCCTTTAACTCCTAAGATGTGATTGTTAATTCTCTCCTGTTCCCTGTAAATTAGTTAAGAGACTTTGGTGTTGGATCAAGATATCTTCCACCTGATAAGTTTGAGTATTCTCATTTCCTGTTTGCTGGATAATGTGTGGATGTTATAGGGGGAAGTTACATGTTGATCACTTCTTGTAAGTGGGTTAAACTTCGATCTAATGCTCGGTGATGGAAATTTTAAATTGATCCCTTTGCAGGAAAGAGATTAGTTGGTATCTATCAGATGCACACAACTTCCCTTGAAATGGAAAATGATCCAAGTAAGTCAATTTCAGTTAAAACTCGTAACTCTTTTTGTCAATTGAAGGTCTAAATTCTTAGGCTTTAATTATGAAAAAATTCACTTGAACTTTGTAAGTTGACTAAACTTCATCATGTTTTTAGGACTTAAAACACATTTGGAGGATGCCTAGAAAAGGAAAGAACAGGAATGAGCTGACTATGTGCAAAAAATAGTGAGATGATTTTTACAATTGTAGTAGTATTTTACAGCTTAGATAGATAGTTTTGTTGACATACACTATGACTTTGACACACAATTTACCTTGAACTGTTAGATGTGTTAGATCTGTGTAGCCTGCTACTTGTTGCACAAAATGACATCTAAAAACATCACAGAAAGTCAAGACAGACAAAATTTGAAAGCATGCAAGCTCAATTTATAATTTGCTCTCACTTGTGTTACATGAGAATGCATTCATTTTCAGCCAATGAGAAGTGCATAATTTTTTAAATTTTAATTTTAATTATTATAATTAAATTTAGACTAATTTTTTCATGGGACATCATGAAAAAACCTGGTTAGACAACTATTCATTATCTGAAGTTGTTTTCTACAGACGCTATGTCGATGACACCTTCTGTTTGTTCAATAATGAGAAGGACGCGGTATTGTTCTTTGATTATTTAAACACCAGACACCCTAGGCTTCACAATGGAAAAGGAAATTAATGAGAAATATCGTTCTTAGACATACTGATTGACAACAGTAATCCATCCATAATTACTAGCGTCTACCGCAAGAAGACGTTTACTGGTCTTCTGACGAATTATTTTGCTTCACTCCTATGATGTACAAATTAGGTTTAATAAGAACTTTGGTTGACAGAGTATATAAGATCAATAATTCCTGGGTTGGTTTCCACAAGGATGTACAAAACCTTATTTTCTTGCTACGGAAAAATTGTTTCCCTTCCAGCGTCATAGACAGGATTATCTCAAGACATCTGGCCAAGAGCTATATTCCTTCTCCCACGCATAACACCACATTAAACTCCGGAAACCCTTCTTCGCATTATTTTAAACTTCCTTATGTTGGGCGGTTTTCTGACATCGCTCAAACCAAGTTAAGGCATCTACTGAAACGTTATTGTAGACCTGATTTAGATATTAAGTTAGTCTTCAATACGTTTAAGCTCAGAAACTTGTTCAGTGTGAAAGATTCAGTACCACCAGGTCTACGTTCGCGTGTCGTTTATAAATTTTCGTGTGCTGGCTGTAATGCCAGTTATATTGGTGAGACCACTCGCCACATCTGTACACGGGTTCGTGAGCACCTCTTGTCTGACAAAACTTCACACATTTACAAGCACCTACAATCATCAAAGGCCTGTCTCGACTCTTGTGGTACAGAATGTTTCACCATTTTAGATTCTGCCGCTTCGAAATACAAAATTAAGATCAAAGAGGCATTGCATATTAAGTGGGACAAACCCATCCTTAATCAACAATTGAAGCATCTAGAGTTGTCTCTTTCCTTTTGATTCTGTCATCATAATAATTTTTCTTATTATGATCATTATTTTTCTTTTCTTTTCTCCTTCTTTCCCCATCTGGGCGTGCTATGTCACGTTTTTTCGTATTTAATATTCAAATTGTAACGTAAACAATATGACGTAATTTGTAACGTATCTCATATAAATTCAAATGTACAACCGTTAAAATCGCATTTACAACTGAAGATGACATAAGAATGTCGAAACATGTCTTGCAAACTAAAAGTTGTGGTTTCTTTATTAAGAATTATTGCCACTCTGCTGTCTTTACGTCCTTTTGGTAACATTATGTATAGTTTTGCATGTACCTCAAAACTTTTATTTGTGTTCTGTGTGGTAGCAGAGATAGTGGAATATATATGTCAGATGTAGTTTGTGAATCAAAGATGGATGTTGATGACACTCAAATATAGAGCTAAAGTGACTTAATTAAGTTTTTGTCTGGTTCATCTTCACTTTGGGTACAACTACGAGGAACAGCTTACCTTTGCTGGTACTTCACATTACTCTTGCCACTCTCGCTTTATATAAATAGAGATAATTAATTCATTAATAATTTACATGAAAAAATTACACATGTTTCTCATATAACACAAGTGCAAAGTTGTAACACAAGTGCAAATTAAAAATAGCAGCCAAAATTTCATCCGTTTTGACTTTCTGTGATGGGTTTTTCATGTAAATTATTAGCAAGTAACGACATGATTTCTTGTGCAATTTGGTTTAAATAAGCACTGGTAATTTTTTTTCTTTAGCAGGTCATGTCTAAACTGATTTTAATTTTGAAGTGTCTTTGCATCTTGCAGACTTCATTTAGAGAAGAAGCCCAACAAACACTGGCCAAAAGAAAGGTTGAGAGATTAAAGGTGAGGTGACCCTTTTTGCTATTGGATGAACAAAGCATATAAGAAGGAATAATAAGAAGATGCATTATGCAATGCATTGCATTAGCGCAGCCTTAGGAGTCTGGGGAGAGCATGAGTAATATTATCACCCCTGAATCACACATCAAGACCATAAGAATACAGGAAAAGAAGCTCTTGATTGTTAAACAAATTCTCCTTGACATCACCTTAAGAAATGTTTAGGGGACAGTATGGAGAATGTTCATACTGATGTTAGAGTGTAATGGGTTTAAGATGGAGGACTGATTGTCAACCCTTTAACTCCCAAGATCTTGTTAACAATTCTCCTTACTGTCTGCCATACAGTTCTTGTGATGTTAGTTTGGAGAATTTGGTTTTGGGACAACTTATAATCCCATCATTGGTATTTTTTGTTATTCTCATCACTTGTCTGCTTGATATTATATTGATATTGTAAGGAGAAATTCTGTCTTGGTCACTCACAGGAGTTAAAGGATTAAATACGGCAGATTACTTGAGGAGGACTTTTGTGGGGATGCAGGCTAAGTTTGTACCAGATGTATTGCAGAATTGCAACCTCAAGAGGTTGACCTAACAGAAAAAGACAATATTCTGCATAGTACTACTCATGAATTCACTTCAGGCTTACTTTAATTTAAGGTACTACACTGTTCTTGCTTAAGATGAGTTTTCCTTTTCTTCATCAAAGTATTTTTCATGTAATATAGCATCCTGACACATTGTGGATGAAACTCAAAACTTTTTTAACAATTGTGGAAAAATTGAGGTAATCATGGTCATAAAGAAGTTTAAATCAGCCATCACTTACTTCAATGTCATGATCTCTTCCTTCTCACCTGAACTCCCTTTAGTGAGAAGGCAAATGAGGGGGGTGGGGTGGGTGCAAGGAAAGAATAGAGACCCATTCTTAGCTGGAACCAGGCTGAAATTTCCAAATATTTATGATCTTGAGCATCAATCATGATTCAAGAAATTAAAGAAGGGAGCTGGTTGCAATTCAATGCTATATTACCTGAAATACAGACCTTTGGAAATGGAAATGAAAAGCAACTTTTGAACCTTAATTTAAACTTTTAGCCTTTAATTGTGGAAGCAGAGGGTGCAGTGGTGAGAGTGCTTCCCTCCCACCCCTCCCACTACTGTGAACTGGGTTCAAATCTTGGACCTGGCATCACATGTGGATTGAGTTCGTTGTTGGTTCTTGTCCTCGCTCCAAGGGGTTTTCTCTGGGTCTTCCAGTTTTCCTCTCTCAGCGAAATACCAGCATTCTAAATTCAAATTCGACCTGACAAAAGTGGACAGGAAGAGCCACCCCATGGATTGTCCAATGCTAAAATCCAGTTATTTATTTTTTTGTGTACCACCATCCATGCAGGCTTTGCCATGTTTGGGACCAGTCACTATATATATTACCTAGGGGGGTAGGAGGATTTTTGTTGTATCACACTGAAATTAGCCTTGTACCCCCCCCTCAAATCTTTCTAGTATTTTAATAATCCCCCTCATTGGCAGTCAATGTCTTATAGCCCCCCCCCCTTTGTACTCTGTTAGCAATGACTGTTTCTCCCCCCTCTGTTCCCCTGAAAACCATGCGATCCCCCCTTCATTCTTTCTCCTCCCCCCCCTCATGATAAATAATGATAGGTGTTTTGGTTTTAATTTCCACTGAGTAGAAAGAAGTAATTTCACAACGTCAGCCCAAAGAACATGTCTTCAACATCTTGTAAGTGGGAAACTCTCTTTGTTTTTCCATTTTTTTTGGTTGTTTTTGTTTTTGTTTCTCTTTTCGGTTTTGTTTTTGTTTTTGTGTTTTTTTACTGTGTAGTCTTGATGCCATTTTATCCAAATTTGTGTATGTATTTATAGAGAGTCCAGTGAAGAAGATGAAGAAGCCTTCGAAGCCATGGCAGAAATTGATAAGTTTGAGGAAAGTCTTAAACAGAAGGAAATTATAAAACCAGAGTAGAAACTAACTTTCTGAAAGTTATCCTTATTTCTTGTAAAGAAAAAAATCTTGCCACTGTACATAACTGTAAGAAATGTAAATAAAGTGTTATTTCCATTGTAGAGTGTTGGTTTCAAATTCTACATCAATTGGAGAGCTTTAGTCAATAACGTTCATCTTCACTAATGTAAGGAACTATTGCTTATATTAGTTCACAGTCCCTTTAAAAATGGACGTCCACTGAATTTCGGTTAGAAAATTAGGTTTCCTCCAAACTCTGCCACGATATTAAGCTAAGTCCAAAATTCACCTTTTGTATACATCGCTCAGTATTTTGTTTCGGAATTAAAATAATCTTATTGGAAACTCATTTTGGTGGTCGCGTTACCCGAAAATTAGAAAAAACTGCCGAGTTGTTCATTTCACAATGTTTTCTACTTGAAATTAATTCTCAAATTGCTCGTTATCACTTTTATCATTAGACACACTGATTCCCCTGTCATCGTTAACTTGTTACTTATCGGAGATATCTGGCAACTTTGCCATAGCTGTCGAGTGTGAAATTATTGTAATTTTAGCTTCATTTGGGGCCACATCTTTCCCACCATTGTTAGAGCGCTCAACGGTCAACCTGTTTAGAGCGGTCACCCACCATTCTTCGTGACCGCTTATTAAAAGTTTTACTGATAGTCTTGGTCAGGCGACCTTTAGTTACCTAACCAGGAGTAATCATTGATTATGGAGAGAGTTCGTGGGGTTGAAAATTGGGTTTTGAACCACTTTGAATTCTGACTACACTCACGAGATAATCAATGTGAAAAGTTTATTTAGGATGAGTCAGTCAGTCTTCTAGTATATGCATCCTCATACAATCTCAATATGTGCACCCTGAAACTAGGGTTCTTCGAAAAAAACCTTTGCTACGCTAGCTACGAAGAACCTCTGAAAAAACTCTTTCGATGTGGCCGAGAAAAGGTATGGAAATGTATTCCTCATCTAATGCTCAGCACAATACTCTAAGGAAAGGGTATACTAAAGTGATTGCACTACTAATTACAAAGAAAAATCAATGATTGAAATGATATTTTACAAGGAGTAAGAATACCAAAATTACAAAAAATACGAAAAAGAAAGTGGTCACTGATATGGGAGAAGGTGAGCATTGTAAAAAATATTCAAGAGACTTAATGAATATTTCAAAAAAAGGTCAGAACCCCTTCTTTTCTATCTACTCGCTATATGGTTGTTACAGAAGAAGGGACATGTTTGTTTGTTGATAGAGTCGTACCAGAGACCACTGAACATCCCACGCAGCCAATGGTAAGCTTTTCGTAAACCGTTCAATTTCCTGCGCTTTGCAAATATTTGAAGGGTAATAAACACCGATAGCCTCTATTAGGCGAAAAAATATGCTCGTAAATTTATCCATGGATATTATTTTTTTATCGAAGCTCACAGTTTTTCTCGAGTTTGGCTCTCGGAGAACTTTGCATTTTAGAACAGATAATGTCTGCGGACAAATATCCGTGCATATTTTCAAACCAAACGGGGACTAGTGTTCATACAGTTATCTGTCACGCGTGACAATAGTTTCTTCAGCGAATAAGTATTCTTTACGTGTTCTCGTATTTGATGTAATTTTAGTGGCGGAGCTATAAATGACACCAAGGGAATTTCCCGATATCAGTTTCCGTGTTTTCATAGGCCGCATTCTGCCTGATCAACTCGTGATCTCATTGTCTGGTATTAAACGCCCACAATTTTTTTTGTAGAACCCCTTGATGAGGTATACTGTCTCCCGCATTTCAAAAATCTCTCTCGAATAGATTCTACACGATTGATTACTCGCATCATTTGCGCAAATTACGCAAGGAATGAAATTCCACGACGCGATCAAAGGTAACAAACAGCCTTTCTGCTGAGAATTTTCCATCACGTAACTAAACGAAGCATACCTTAATCGAAAAATGAAGTCGACGTCAGTTCTCACTTAATTTGGTGTTTGCTGCATACTTTTACGAGCAATTTCGGCGCTTATGGCCTTACACTGAAACCATTGCAAGCGAAGGGTAGGTTAAGGACGCTTCAGCTTAAAGTGTAAGTAAAATATGACACGAATTAGGCATCGTGTTTGTCATAAGCTCCATCACTTGCGATTGGTAGACCTTGCACCTTTAAATTGAAATGTTTCCAACGCCGTCCTTTCTCGAGGGTCTTGAAACGTGCATATATCCTACAGAATTCAAGCATTTCACTCAATTTTAGATCAAAACCTGGAACAAGTAGAACTAAGAATATTTCACTAAGATTAAGTTTGCATGAACAGACTAACGACTCACTCTCAACCAACAACAAAATGGCGGTTGAAAGTTTGACTATAAGGTTTTCTGTGCATGTTAACTTGTTATTTGTTTTTATTTAGAAATCAAGTCCTTCTTCGAAGATACAACAGTAAACACTGAGTAACGAAGATTAGGTCACTGCGAAGGTAAGTTTAATCCACTGAGTTGATAAATAAGGGAACATTCACGCATACATGCAGTTGATCACCTGAAATTAGTATATCATATTAAAGAACAAATTGAGTCACCCACCAAGCATTGTTTAAGTTGCTTCGTTCAATTCTTCCGTTCTATCTCCCTGTTTTGGGGCAGTGCACGCTTGACTCTATCCGAGAATTGACAGAGCCGTACGTACTCTACATTGAATCACATTTATCGCTTAAAACAGACAGTAAGGAATATTATTAATGAGATCTTAGCAGTTAAAGGCCTAGCTGGGATTGCAGTGTTTTGGAACTTTGTCGTAACATTTGCATTTTACAACAGCCATTTCATTGTTCTGTTGGACTCAGCCATCCGGATGAGTGCTTTTGATTCTTTGGTATACGGTGATTGATGCATAATTGTCTGTGATCGCGTAATCTGACAAATGATGCCCTAATTCTCAAAGCAGCGGCATTATTGCAAAGCAAGACTGGATCGACGGACGCAAAATAAATGCCGCGTCTTTAAAATTCGAAAAGAGCAACTCAGTTGTCGACAAGTAGAAAGTTAGTTTTGGGGCCAGAAGCACGGATACCGAACAGACGATTTGAAGAACAACCTTCAACTCGAGGTATTTGATCAAGAATCGAAACCGAGCGGTTTTATTTGATTGAGTTGAATTCATATCATTTTTTTCCCAACAGCTGTTGGTCCAATCGATTTCAAGCGTTGAGAGACAGATTGTGTCTATATCAGTAGAGAAGCTTAAAGCTAAAGGTAAGAAGAACGTTTTTAACAAACCATCGCAAAATAATTATGTGGGGACATTAACGAATCGCACGTAAAGAAACGCACACAGTCAATAATCCTTGTCACAGCTTTCAATTTCTTCGAAATCAGCAAGCCTATTGGTATGTGTAAGCTAAATTTTACTGCACGTAAAATCTAAATTCCGAAAGTAGTTCTTTTTTGTCTGACGTATAACGCAAAAATGCTAGAGTCAAATTCGATGTCACTTCTCAGTTAATTTGATGTTTGCTGCATAATTTTACAAAGCAATTTCGGTGCTTATGGCCTTACACTAAAACCATCGTAAGCGAAGGGTGGCTGGCTTAAGGACGCTTCGGCTTAAAGTGTAAGTAAAATATGACACGAATTAAGCATCGTGTTTGTCATAATCTCCATCACTTGCAAGTGTTAGACCTTGCACCCTTAAAATGAAATGTTTTCATCGACTTCCTTTGTGGAGGGTCTTGAAACATGCCTTTTTTTCCTTCTTGATGTTCAAACGCATATAAATCCTACAAAATTCAAGCATTGCACACAAGTATAGATTAAAATATAGAACAAGTGGAACGATGAATATTTCACTGAGATTATGTTCGCGTGAACAAACAAACGGCTCAACCTCAACCGACAACAAGATGGCAGTTCACAGTTTGATCATGAGGTTCTCTGTACATGTTAACTTGTTATATTTTTGTTTAGAAATCCATTCTTTCTTCGAAGATATAACAGTAAATACTGAATAACGAAGATAAGGTCATTAGGTAGGTAAGTTTAATCCACTGAGTTTATAAATATGGGAAACGTTCACGCATATATGTAGCTGATTACGTAAAATTAGTGTATCATAGTAAAGAACAAATTGAGTCGCTGAACAAGCACTGAAGTTATTACTTTCAACTCTTCTGTTCTATCTCCATCTTTTTGGGCTGACCAATGCATGCCTGACTCTCTCCGAGAATCTATAGACCCATTTGTTCTCTACATTGATTCACATTTATCGCTCAAAACAATGAGACAGTAAGGAATATTACCAAAGAGATCTCAGCAGTGAAAGACCAAGGGATTGCAGTATTTTGGAACTTTAGCCAACCTTAATTCTTGAAGAATTACACCATTGCAACGCGAGCTAAATGCAGTGTCTTCAAATTCGTAAAGAGCAACTCACTTTTTGACGCGAAGAACATTAGTTTTGGGGCCAGAAGCACGGTTACGAGACAGACGATTTGAAGAACAACCTTCGACTTGAGGTATTTGATCGAGAATCGAAATTGAGTGGTTTTGTTTGATTGAGTTGAATTCATGTCATTTTTTTCCAACAGCTGCTGGTCGAATCGAATTCAAGCGTTGTGTTACAGATTGTGTCTGTATCAGGAGAGAAGCTAAAAGCTTAAGGTAAGAAGAACGATTTTTTTACAAACCATTGTAAAATAATTATGTGGGAACATTTACGAATCGTACATAAAGAAACGCACACCCGCCAATAATTCTGGTCACTGCCTCCCAGTTCTTTAAACTCAGCAAGCTTATTTTAATATGTAAGCTAAATTTTACTGTGGATAAAATCTGAATTTCGAAAGTGGTCTTTTTTTGTCTGACGTATAACGCAGAGTCAAAGTCGATGTCATTTCTCAGTTAATTTGACGTTTGCTGCATAATTTAACAGAGCAATTTCGGTGCTTAGGGCCTTACACTCAAACCACTGCAAGCGAAGAGTAGCTTAAGGACGTTTCAGACTAAAGTGTAAGTAAAATATGACACGAATTAGGCATCGTGCTTGTTATAAGCTCCATCACTTGCGAGTGATAGACCTTGCACCCTTCAAATGGAATGTTTCTCTCGGTATCCTT